GGGGCGCGGCGTTCGTGGCCCCCAGCCTGAGAGGCCGCGGCCCGGAGCGCAAGCCCAGCCCCCGCTGCCGGGAGCGTCCTGGAAGCCTCGAGGATGGGTGGGACCCCTGGCCCGCGTCCAGCTGGTTCGGTCGCGCACTGCCAGCTTGTGTTGGGCTGAGTGTGTCGCCGAAGGTTGACGCCACGGTGGCTTTTTAGGAACGGGGAAGGGCGTGTGGTTTTTGAATGTACTTTACAATTGTGCTTTGACATGTGGCTAAATATTGGTCTCTTTAACCGTTTTTAAGTGCACAGTTTGTTGGCATTAGTAACGTTCACGTGCAGCCACTATTCATAAAACTTTTCACCCTCTCACCAACAGAAACCTTGTACACCGTTTTTTTTTGTCGGAGTCTCACTCTGTCGCTCACACTGGAGCGCAGTGGCCGCTCCCGGCCACCGCAGCCTCGACCTGCTGGGCTCCGGCGATCCTTCCGCCTCAGCCTTCCGAGTAGCTGGAACTACAGGCGCGCGCTACCACGCCTGGCTAATTTTTGATTTACTGTAGAGATGAAGTCTCGCCAAGTTGCCCAGGCGGGTCTCGAACCCGCGGGCTCAGGCAATCCACTCGCCTTGGCCTCGTGCTGGGATTACAGACTGGGCCACCGAGCCCGGCCAGTCTATGTGTTTGTATATATGTGTGTGTACAGACATACACAATACATACACACATACTTATCTCCTTCCAGTCAGAGGTCTCCCCCTCACCCTCCTTTCCACCCCCAGGTGTAAGAGGGAGGATTCCAGGAACCCAAGGCTTTGTTTTTCTGCCCCATGTCAATGAAAGGTAGGAGGGAGTTAGAGGTTGGGGGCGGGGCCAATGAACAGAATACCTGGGTCCCCAGTTCCTACCTGTCCGTCCCTTGGCCTGTTGCTCTCCCTTGCTCCACCAGCCTTACCACCATCCATGCTGCCCCAAGAGCCTTGACCACGCTAGAGCAGATTCCAGGCAGGAGAAGCCAAAAGGAACTCCTCTCACCCCCTACTTTTGGCCAGGCCTTCTGAACCACCTGCCAAGGTCAGCAGGCAAAGAGGGAGGGAGGGGGCCTGGAGAAAGGGGGACATAGACCAGAGTGCTCTTTGCACCCAAACTTCCACCCTAGAATTAAGGAGAGGATATGAGTCTTGAGAGGGCCTTACACTGAGGAAACAGGTCTAAAATGGAGGCGAGGAACCGGAGAAGGGTGGGCGGATTGTCTCAAGCAGAGGCAAGCAGCATGGAGCCCAGGGGGAAGGAGATGTCTGGGTATGGGGATGTGGAGTCTGGAACTCTGGCCTTGAACCTGTGGGATCGATCGCCAGAGTGTGAAGTCAATGGTGGAGGGAAAGGAGTTGGGCAGGCAAGTCCAGATGGCGGCAATTAGGCGAGGGTGAGACACAGGCTGGGTGAGCGGCCCGCCCCCTATCTTGGCCTCCCAGGTTTGGGATGAGGGAAGAGGCTGTGAGTGATTAGAAAGAAGGGAAAACAGATAGAAGCAGAGCTGCCCCGGGCGCGGGAAGAAGGCCAAGAGCGCAGGAAGTGGAGCAAGTGGCACAGACCAGAGCCCTGGGTATTTCGGGGGAGGGGGCAGCGGGCTACGTTGAGCTGGAGACCGGGGCCTCCCCTGCTTCGGAGTTCCCAGAGTTGGGGGCGCGGGCGGGGCGGGCTGGGGTGGGGGCGGGCAGCTGTGTCGTCAGGAGCGGGGCGGCCCCG